TTGTCATTTTGTGATGATATCTCAATCTCTAATTTGGTGAATATTTTGTCATTTTTGGTAAAAAGTGATATTTTCGACTTCTTGTTGAAAACTGTAAGTCCGATTGCTTTGATATTACATATATAGGTACTACATGTGGACCTCTCTCAGATTTGTTCGTTTTGTGATGATGTCTTCAATTCTCTAATTAATTTATTTTGGTGAATATTTTTGTAATTTTTGGTAAAAAGTGATATTTTCGACTTCTTGTTAAAAACTGTAAGTCCGATTGCTTTGATACTATTCATATTGTTCATTTTCTAATGATATCTTCAGTTCTTTAATTGAAATGTGCATTGCTAACAGCGGAGCTATCTCAGCCGATAGGCTGCTTGTTTTTATAGTTCTGGGTTGTGCACTCAAAAGAAGCTGAGATAATTGCTAATTTGCATAACAATTCACTCAGTAAGAAGTTTGCTAATGCTCATAATTAAAATGGCTGTAGCAGTTCCAAATTTAAATGTATTATCGTTTTGTTAAAAGTTAAATATAGTGCATAATATGGAGATCCTGTCATTTCTTTTTTTCACCATGTTTCTTTTTTTATTATTTATGTACAGCCTTGCTAAATCTTGCTAAGCATTCAAAAGAAAGAATGTTTGCACCTGTTATCTATATTTTAAAATCGTTTTTTTTTAGTATGTTCCACTATTCACAATTGTACACAATTTTAACAGTCTATAGCCAAGACTGTTTGGATAATAAAAAGCCAAAAAAAAAAATTTCACTCCAAAGTGCCCACGAACCTGCATCTCTACCTTAACAGAAATAATTTCATATATAATCACAACATCATAATCAATATGTAGTTTATTTAGAAACATATGTGTAACCCCACACACAGTGCCATGTGTTTATGTAAATGTAATTGCTGTCATGTATTACCTTGAGATTTTGTATTCCAGCTCTATTCCTATGGATGTAACAGGAATATTTTATGTTAACACACTGGTATAAAACTAAAATGAATGAGTAATTGTCATGTAATTTCTTTTCATTTTTTGTTCCAGATATTATGCAGTTGTACGTCCCATGTTGTACCCACTTGCTGTTACAAATATTAGATCTGTACCAATTATAGTATGTACTTGGCTGATTGCAATTATATGTAGCTTACCTCCATCGTTTGGTTGGTCTAATTATAAATTTCATCCAGCTAAATCAAGTTGTCTACCTCTATGGAATCAGCATATATCATATACAGTTTTTCTCTTTGTTGTTTGTTATTTGACTCCGTTTATTATTATGGCTGTTTGTTATACTCACATTCTGAATGTTGCAAGGACTAAAGCTCGCAGAGTTAATATTGGAAATATGATATTAACAAACAGTCCCAGAAGGCATAGCAGTGGAGATCCTCTGGAAAACCGTAGAATAAGTTTTGGAGCCGAGACTGATTCACTCAGTGAAAAACAAACTAAAAAATGTAATCGTCGTGATAGTGACAGCAGTGTAATTGGTGCAGCTACCGGGGGTAACAGAGCACATAGAAGGTCAAGATCATCTTTTTCTATCAACCTCAAAGTCAGCTCTCCAACTAAGGCTTTGCGTACAATATTTCTAATACATGGTGTAAATTTTTTGACCTTAGCTCCGATGTTGATATGTGCCAGTTTTGAATCCATTTGTGGAAATGATAGAATACCAGACTGGGTACTTTTAACAGTTACATGGTTAGCATTATCCTCAACTGCATGTTATCCATGTATATATGGGCTTTGGAATAAAACATTGAGAAAGGAAGTGTACAACATTTTATGTAATAAATCTGCTACACTGGATGAAGAGGAAATGTTATTTCTGCAATCACGTCGTGCATCCTGGAAGTCTCACAGTATTGGTGAAAGTCTAACTGAGTTAACCAAAATGCAATTAGCATTAATTCAATTCCGTGCAAATCGTTCTAATTCACTCACCTCAGGAGCAATAAGCAATGATTCAGGTAGGTTTAATCTTTATAGTGATCACCCTTGGACCTTTATAGATAGGCTTGTTAAACTGTTCTGAAACATTAAAACCTAATAAGCATAGACACTTAACATCTGGTATAATTGTTGGTTTTGGTATATCAGATAGCTGAGCGGAGTTCATGGGTTGACCAACCTGGCGTCGTCTGTCAACTTTTTTCATTCAAACAACTTTTTCAAAACTGTCAGCTGGATTGTTTTGCTATTCATACCACACCCACCTACCTGGGATGGTTCTCTGTTATGTCTCGTGTAAGCCATGATTTTTTTCACAACCGCTTTTCAGATTGCTTTGCAATTTGGCATGAATGTTGTTGACATGGATTACACTCATGGCACCATATGCAATAGGCTATTTTCAGTGCATTTTTGACTTATTCTCCGAAACCGCTTACCACATTGCTTTGAAATTTATAATGTAGACACATGGACTGGTCCAATCTGATTAAAATCTGATGTAGTGTACGGGCTTTAATTATTTTGGCTATAAACTTATTTTAATTTTATTTTTTATTACTTTTATTATTAATGCCTCTTTAGCTCCGCTGTCGACTTTGTCGAGCGGAGCTTATCATATGAGTGATTGTCCGTGAATATTTTTGTAATTTTTGGTAAAAAGTGATATTTTCGACTTGTTAAAAACCAAAAGTTCAATTGCTTTGATATTACATATATAGATACTACATGTAGACCTTTCTCAGATTTGTTCATTTCGTGATGATATCTTCAATTCTCTAATTTTGGTGAATATTTATGTCATTTTTGGTAGAAAGTGATATTTTCGACTTCTTGTTAAAAACTGTAAGTCTGATTGCTTTGATACTATACATATTGTTCATTTTCTAATGATGTTTTCAGTTCTTTAATTGAAATGTGCATTGCTAACAGCGGAGCTATCTCAGCCGATAGGCTGCTTGTTATTTTATTATTTTACTTTGATTTTGTGATTTTTTTTTTAATTCCGCCCTATATTCATCTGATTCGACACCGATGTAAGTCCCGTTCAAATCTCGCGTGAGTAACAGCCAATCACAGCCCCCCTTTTATACAGGCTGTCGGTTGCTTACTTTTCAGTGTAGCAATACTCCACGGGCAATCTTTCTGTACATTATATTTTGCCCACTTGAATAAACCATTAATAGAAATTTGCTAGTATATTTTTATTTACAAAAGAAATTCCACAGCATTTTACAATTTTTGTCATTACATTGAATGTTTTTTTCACTTCCAACAAATGTGTACACTTCCTGATACATCTTCGCCAGCCAAGGTTCGTTTATTCAGTCATCGCTTCAATTTTACATCAAACACTGAGCATAATTATCTAGAATGGAAGCAAACAAATAAGTTAATTGTAATGATTAGAACACTGTAAACAGCTATAGTAAACAATGCAAACTGATTTTAAATTGTATAACTGCATCGACGCAGAAAATTGGAGCAAAAAAATATTCCCTGATCAATTGCGATGTGTTCCAAATAAAAAATGTTTTATTCCAGTCCAAATCAGCTCAATTACTTTAATAAAGAGTTATTGTATAATGTACAAAATGTTGATACATTTTGATGAATATTTACAGCTACGGAAAAATGACTTTCGTTGCATTTGACAATGATAAACTTACTGAAAAGCCGTGTTTTTCTCTGTCGCTAACGCAGGTATAGTCAGCCATTTTATTTTAGTGTGTTTGCCACCTGACTCTGCCCGGTGACGTCATAATGTGCGCTATAGAAGGAGGTTTGTGATTCGTTGACTAAAATCGTCAATAGTGGGTCTCGTTGAAATCTCGTCACATAGACATCGGGTCAGATGTATGTATGGCGTAATTAAAAAAAATAAAAAAATCAGTAAAATAAAATAAAAAGGCATTAATAAAAAAAGTAATAAAAAATAAAATTGAAATAAGTTTATAGCCAAAATAATTATAGCTCGTACACTACATCAGATTTTAATCAGATTGGGACTGGTCTACTTTCAAGTTTGTTTATTTTATGAAGATTCTCCATTTTTATGGAAGTTATGATTTGTTCCCTTTCCCATACTCCAGAAGACAACTGTATTATTTGGAAGCTAGGCTTTCTCAGTACACATTGTCTTGGAAAATGAACTGGATGGGCCAATGCTTTCCAGAAATACTTCAGGTCAAGGTCATTTTAAGGTTTATATGTTTGCTGCTTTTATATGGGTGATAATGAACAGTGAGGATGAGAGGAACTCACCTCCCCGAAATCTTCAAGGCTGGGTCAGGGTTATCTCAAGGTCACATGTTGATTACATGAGTATTTGGGGGGGGGGGGGGGTCAGTGTTGTTTATTATTTCATGACAGTGAGCTGTGCTTCTGTGACTTCATTACATGCATATTCATAAACAGGAAATCATAAACATGCTTGTGCAGATCTCCAAAAGGCTTATGATACTGTCTAGAGAAATGATTTATTTTGAACAAGTAAGAGTTCGGGACTGGGATTTACTAAAAGGTCAAATACTTTTGAATCGTTATGTAAATGACTTAAAACAATACATTGGAAAATTAGATCTGGTAACATTAAATACCTTAGTACTTGAAGAAAGGAAAATGAAAAAAACAAATTTTCTAAAATTCTGTTGCAAGATACTGAGCAAATATTGCCAAAATTACACTTTCAGTAGCAGAAAATATTTTTTTCTCATCCTCGGTTCATCTTTCTGTATTGCATGTCATGACTGTACTGTTTCAGCTTAGCAGAGTCTGAGTGGGTTGGTTCACTATGACGAGGTACCAAGAAATTTGGGCTACCATGCCATTTGTAACTGCGACAGAATCACTAATATCTCTAAACTATTGTCAAATGCATTCTTGCTATTGCAAGATCATTCAATTTCTGTATCGATTCAACACCATAGTTATTATGATGACCTCATTTTTCTTTTTCATTTTCGGTCAGAATTGTTTCCACCTAAATTTTAGCCAGTATCTTCTGTGCAAAATTGGTTTAGAGATATAATTGTATTGTTTCAGACATCTTTCGTCCTGCAAGGAAAAAATTGTACTAGGCAGCAAAAACATAAATTCTTTCTAAGCTTTTTTTAATTTTTAATTTTCAGGAACAGTTTTGACCTGCATTGATGAGACTGATGTAGATGAGGGAACTATCACAGAACAGGATGATAATAAAGAAACTGTTGTTGAAAAGATGTCAGTGACTGGTGATGATTCACAGAATAAAACTGTTGTTGATGTACATACAAATTCAATAAATGATGCACAAAGTGAAATGGAAAAAGAAGAGAAAATTAAAGGAACTTTGAAAGAAAGTAGCGATGAAGGTGTACAGTCATTGGATGATGAAACAGACAGAGAACAATGTGAACCTGTGCAACAAAATGATGATCAAAGCACTACTTTGTGTGATACAACAAATCCTTCTGTGGAGACGGGCAGTACATGAACAGCTGCAATGGGACCTAGGTTTACACTACATGTACATTGTATATGGACAGTAAAAGTACCAAAATTCAGTGCAATGTCTGGAATAAGTTTTTAGTAAATATCTTTAGTAAAGTTTTTATACTATTTATTATAAGATGCATGTATAGCTATGTCAGAAGATTAAATTATTTTACAGTTCTAGAGGAAAGCAGGGTACTCGGCGAAATGATGGGATTAGAATAATAAAAAAAACTAAAAAGTACATTTCACAAGATCAATGCTAACTGCTGGCAGATTGGTCTCAGTCATGCCACTTCCTATCCAGTGGTTTTTTTTTAGATTATGTGTAATATTTGTATTTGAATCATGTTTTTATATGTAGAACTGCTGTTGTCAACTCAGAATTTGAAATAGACTGTGGTGTCCAAATTAAGGAATTGTTAATTTTTCAATTCAATTAAATTAATTAAATCCCACTACTACAGTAAAAAGATCATTAGGAAATGTAAGCAGTGTGACCAAAACTCATTGTGCATACTTTACACCATGGCAACAATGTAATGACTTGTGGGTCCAAACATTGAAGAGGAAAACCAGTAACGTTCAAATGAGTTAATTATACATTTGTACTGTGAAATACTTTATTTTTGCTGGAATTAATTTTTGCTGAAAAGGCTTTTTGGGTGTTTTGTATGGAATTTATTTTCACTGATTTTTGATCAGTATAATGTGAAATATAGGAAAAAAAGTATATTCGCTGGATTTTATTTTCACGGAATCATCCCTCCAGTGAAAATAGCGAAAATAAATTCCAAGCGAAAATAAAGTAGTCTACAGTAGTTTAATTCTGAGAAAGTGGGATCAAATTTTGAATATTCAAAGACACTAGAGAAAACAGGGTCAGGCAAGTGTGGTCTTTTTTTGTATGTAAAATTTAAATGTGATTTTGAACATTCAAAGATAATGTTTGAGTATTCAATGACAAGTTGCATCACACAGATACGAAATCCATGAAAATATTGTGTTCTTTGATGGACGAATTTCAAAACATGTCTATACAAGACATTAATGGTAGGACATAATCTAGTAAAATTTAAAATGATTTGATACACTGTTTTCAAAAAGGGGATACAAAACGTCTTTGAGGTGACAGTTGGTAGGACGATTACTTTGTAACTAGATGAAAGTAAATGGTCAAACAATAAATTTATTTATTTAAAATTTCAAACAAAAACAAATCAATGCCATGGTACATGAACACTGGTACCTAAACTAGTCTATTGTAAACATATTAGTGATTCACCAAATATCTTTGGAATAGTATATTATTTCTACATATAGGTACATATAAATAAAATAGTGAAAAGTCACATATCAGAATAACTCAAACAATTGCAGTTACTTGGCTTTTATTTGGATGTGTTTGAGTAACAACAACAATTTCTTTGTGCCTGTGAAATGTAGTTAAGATATGTTGTTCAAAAACAGTTTTGTTTTGTTTTTCCAGACAATTGTTTGATTGTGATTGTGTCAAATCTATTGATATATAGAAAATACACATAAATAATAACTTATGACTACTGGAAATTTAAATTTCCTTTGCCACTTTGTATATCTAAAATGGGGTGATGTTTCCAGTGCTTGTTCTCAGCATGGATGTATTAGTACATCCATGTTCTCAGTTTACAATGAACATGTTCACAATCCGTTAGCCCTAAAAAGTACACTAAAATGATAATGGTATAATAAACCATCACCAGGCTGATATTAATTCAAATATGTTGTGCTTCTGAGTAAAATTTTGTGGTATACCATGCCAGGTGATTGTTTTAAAAAAAAAATGCTTTGTAACATGTTGACACACTTAACCGTATATGTACAGGTGTCACTTGCCAACACTATTACAAATAATATTTGTATTTCGTATTACTGACACATGTTTCATTATACATGTATATTCTGTGAAATTCTTGATATATAATATAAGCCTACAGTGTTGTGATGTTTCCGTTATTTATTAAACTCAGTTTCTATGATGTTTTAATTTGTCTGCATTGTAATTTAATCTTTTTTTAAATATAAACACATTTTTTACTTAAGGATGTAGTAGAGGTTTTTTTCTTTGAAAATATCAAATTTACTCCCCCCCCCACATTCTCTTATAAAAAATACCGGTATATAAAGCATGCATTCAACTAGAAAAACAGTTGATTTAAGACGGTAATACATTTTGATACAGTGTGTTTTATGTTTTTTTGTGATTTTTCTTGCATAAGAAAACATCAGTATTTGGGGTTAGTCGAGTGAGTTGATCTCGACTCCCAGCTGCTCCACGACGGTGATTTTTTGCATTGGTATTCTCTGATAGCTGCTAATGAAATCTGGCAAAGATAGTTTGTCTACCACTTAAACTTTAGAAAATACAACACAACTCTCCCTATTGTGAACTCTGACACCAGGTATCATATTACAAAAGGTTGACGATGTTTTGAAAAAGTGTTATGAGGTCAAAATCTAGGCCACACAACGGTAGAGGAACTGGGAAATTGAATTCAAATCTTTTATAGTATATCTAATTACAGCAAACATCATTTCTGTGGCCTTATTTTGGTTTCTTCGAAAATAACACTTATTTGCACAGTGATATACACGGTTCCATTTTTGTGTTTGAATATTTATTTCATATTATTTGAAAAATAAGCTTTCTATAAATATATAACTCAATGGGATCCAAAGAATATGTTACTTCAGAAATGTGCTATGCAATTGCAATAGTACTAACCTACTACATCTTATACTTTTTATACATATCTCTACACTTCATACTTTCATCTCAGATTTGTGTATTCCAAGATGAGGCTTTGCATTTAGTGTGTATGTATGTGTTTGTTGATGTCAATGTTGTAATGACTTTCATTTAACTTTACCCTGACCAAGTGACGACCCTCACTATAAGTCAAGTTCGCTTTGCTTAGCTTTAGTAATATTAATATACCGGTAATTGTACCATACTTACCCCCCTTACTAAACCTAAGCTTCACAAACATTTATATGTTAAGTCACAGGATATTCAACTTTTCTTTTATTAAACTCCTATTAAAACACTATTCTATTTTGAATTGCATTGTAATTGAGTTTAACTAACTTAAAATCGTGCAACCCTATGTAGAGTCCTTTTTAATCCAAACATAATGCAGCTGTATTAAAAGTTAATTCAACTATATTAAAAGTTAATCTAATGTGTGTCGTTACACTGATGGTAAAACATTGTGTCTGTCTGTCTGTTCCACTGTCTGTTCGATGTTGGTTTTTGATGAAATTTGATGCATAGATTATCTATGACATTGCAGATCGTAATTGTTTCATATTCAAATCTGTGCATATTAATCACCTGATTTGCATAGTATTTAGCCAGTTTTCAGCTTTTCCATCAGTATCTCAAGTACTTATCTTATTTCAATAAATATTGGTACATGAATACTCTAAGACAATCTAATTAGTTTTGGGTTTATATACATGCATAATAATTACCTGATTTGCATAAAAATAACTTTTCCGCTTTACACCAATTTTTTTTAGGATTATACATCACATTATTGTACAGACCTGGAGCAATACACAGAACTAAATCTATGAATAATTGCTTAATTTGTATAACAATTCATTTGGTTCATTGAGGTAATCCACAGACATGATTAGTTTAATGTTGATAAATATGCATATTGATTATCTATTTTTAGCCCATTTCTGATATCTAAAAAAAATCAGATTTTTCTGTATGTATTATGAATTTTAATATGTGAATCAAATTTTTTTTTTATGTTATGTATCTCAAATAGACAAAAATTAGTTTCCAAGCTTCTTGTTTGAAAAGCGAATTTTAAATTTTGAATTAATTTTAATGTGTCTCCAATACTCCCAGCACACATGAGTTCTTTCTAAGCTTTTTTTGATTATTATTAGCAGATGGTTACCTATTCATTCCATATTTGAAATTCACATTTCCTAACATGGTCGGATGAAAATACCCATAAAATACCATTATGACATGCTGTAACTTATGGCGTTACGGTGACAGATGTATAATAATGACAAAATAACAAAAACCAATTTCTCATTGTTGTATTAAATATATATTAATAATCAACAGCCCGAACCTATCAGGACTGCATCTACACAGCCCGAACCTATCAGGACTGCATCTACACAGCCCAAACCTATCAGGACTGCATCTACACAGCCCAAACCTATCAGGACTGCATCTACACAGCCTGAACCATATCACAACTGCATCAACACAGCCTGAACCATATCACAACTGCATCTACACAGCCTGAACCTATCAGGACTGCATCTACACAGCCCGAACGAATCAGGACTGCATCTACACAGCCTGAACCATATCACAACTGCATCAACACAGCCTGAACCATATCACAACTGCATCTACACAGCCTGAACCTATCAGGACTGCATCTACACAGCCCGAACCTATCAGGACTGCATCTACACAGCCCAAATT